AAAAACAAGAAACTGTCAAACAAATTACTTAATCTTCATTAGAAATTTAATATAATTATCAATATCATATTATAAGCACTTAAATTTCCCCAATTCATTATAAATTTTAAAAAAATTCGACAAATTTCCCTTAAAAATTGTATTTTCCCCTGTACACAAAATATATATAAAAATACAATCAACCAAAACAAGATTAACCAAAAAAAGAAATTGTCAAACAAATTACTTAATCTTCATTAGAGACTTAATATAATTAAGAATACTATATTATAAGTACTTAAATTTCCATGATTCATTCTAAATTTAAAAAAAATTCGACAGAATTTCTCCTAAAAATTGTATTTTCCCCTTGTACACAAAATATATATAAAAATACAATCAACCAAAACAAGATTAACCAAAACAAGAAACTGTCAAACAAATTACTTAATCTTCATTAGAAACTTAATATAATTATCAATATCATATTATAAGTACTTAAATTTCCCCAATTCATTATAAATTTTTAAAAAATTCGTAAGAGTTTCTCCTAAAAATTGTATTTTCCCTATGAATACCAAATATATATAAAAATACAATCAACCAAAACAAGAAATTATAAAACAAATTACTTAATCTTCATTAGAAACTTAATATAATTATCAATACCATATTATAAGTACTTAAATTTTCACGATTCATTATAAAAAAAAAATCGACAGAATTTCCCCTAAAAATTGTATTTTCTCCTGTACACAAAATATATATAAATCAACCCTCAACCAAAACAAGATTTTCTTGTCTGATACTCAATAAAAATAAAATGTAATCTGATTTCACTTAAATTGAATAAATATAAGAGAATTCATGTTGTCCCAATTAACCAATTAATAAGGTATCCTTAATTTTAATTGATTTTTCAATATGAATAAAGTTAATGAAAGAAACATAACTTAAATCGATTTCTCTTAGGAAAATAATAATCGTTAGAAAAAATACTTACAGTATACTTCTGAACCTGCTCATCAATATATGTTGGCATTTTATCTTTTTCCTTTGGATGGTGCATTTTTTTTGCACGGATGTCATCACCAAATGATGGATCCCTATGTTCTAGATCTTTTTCCTTCTGCAATATCACATAGTTAATTATTGTGTTAATTCAAACAAACATGATAATTAACAAGAAGATTATTATAATCATTTATAAGATGAAATCTAACACTTACATGTAAAATTTTTACCAATTTTCTCAAAGTCATCATAATCCATAGATCCACTGGTGTGGGTTATCCTAGGGCCCTTTGCTCAATTTAGCTTTGCTTGCTTTCTACATGCATTGAACTAAGGGTCATGCGTCCATTTGTACTTTAACTTCTCCTAAACCTCATTAGACATTAATAGTTTTTTTCAGTAAAATTCTTCTTTTTGCATGAAGCTTGAATATCAGTCATCATCCAGTTAATTCTTTTTTCACATACTCGTAGAAATGCTATATGAACAGCATTCTCATGAGCAAGGTCCCACTCATATCTATTCTGAAAAATCAAAAAATATTGGTATTATATATTCATGTATTAATTGACGCACAAAAAAAAATTGCACATATATAAATAGAAACATATTGAAATTTATTCAATAAAACTACAAACTCGAAAATCTTGCTAATACACATCCTTGTGCTCAAGCAATATTGAGGCCCAACCTGTATATGCATCTCGCATATTGGACTTAAGAATTATTAAAATATCCTTTCAGACTTGTTTAGGTAATATTTTCCCATTTCAGTTCCCTATGCTTAGCTTCTGGGTTGGATCCTCTGTCAATTTTTGCCTTTTAGCAATACTTCACCCCTTTTTGGGTTAAGGAGGCGAGGTCGTTGGCATTATTTGTTGTCTCCATCAAAGTCTCTTGGACAATAGTACTGGAAGATCCAATTGCTTGTGATTGATTTTTTCTGGTAGGCCTTCAGGTGGCAACGTTAATATCCTTGTCACCCCTACATGATCTAGGTAAGCAATTCACTGCAAGAAAATAAAAAATAATACTACATTAGTATATGAATAAAAAAAATGTATTAGATTTAAACTTTAAATAAAAATAAATCAAACATGAAATTTGAAGACAATATCTAAACAAAATAATAATCACCAAATTAATTTCTCCTTTATATCAATCAACAATACAAATCACCCACTGTGTTATAAAATACCACACACATACACTACTCCATAATAAAAAAGAATCTATGTGTTACTAATTAATTAATCATTACTATCACTCTCAGAAATGTATTCAATATTATCTTCCTCAGATGTAGAATAATCTTCAAATTCTTCCTCATCATCCTCATCCTCATCCTCATCCTCTTCCTCATATTCTCTGTCATCATTCACATACTCAAATTCGACATTAATAGCAGATACTGTCCCATCAATATGTTGCATAGGTTGATATAATATCAAATCGATTTCAGTCGATTAGGGAGGTAAAGGGTCATCATCTTGAAAAATGGGTTATGGCTCATCATGTTGGTCTTTTTGCTCATATGGCATCTCAATAATACTTTTTGCCCTACTTTCAATACATCCAGCCATCCCTTCCTATTAGAATTAAGTGATGGATATGGAGTATAATACACTTGTTTAGCTTGACTCGCCAAGATGAAAGGCTCATAAGTTCTTAATTTTCTATTTGGATTAATATCAACAAGATGATGTTTTGGGTCAACTACAATTTCTCG